GGATATCATGCTTGAAATTAACTAAAGTCTATTCTTATTCCAGTCCTTAAGTTGGATCTACACCTATCTCGACTGTCTGTAATCAGCCAGGTTGGGTGTTCTGGTTTCTGGTGCCATTTATCACTGGTTATTTCATTTATGCGGATTATATTACGATACGTCGATAGTTTCACGAATTGACGTTTAGCATTTCCAGTTGATATGTTTATTATTATCCAAATAATAATACGAATAAAACGACGTGCGAAACAATATTAAACTAAGTAAATGAAAATTTAGCAAGAAAAAGTAGAGTTATGCGATTGCCGCCGCACTTAAAGACCAATGTTAAATGCTAACTAGGATTAAATCCACAGGTGAAGCAAAGACCCTAAATTATGACAAAATGGAGCAAAGTAATGAAAAACTAAGCAATGAAAACTGACCCTAGCAAGCGATAAAAACTTTATAATTTTTAATTTTATGATACTAATAATTTTATAACAATTTTATGATTATTTTTGAATAATTTCATAAAACATTTATTTCGGAATTTCCGACAACTTCGCAAATATCTTTTAAAATTATAGGCTTCTTTTATAAATGTTGAAATATATTGTAAAACCTCATTTTCGATATTCTAACAAAAGTTATCATAAAAGAATTAAACCTTTGTGTAACGGGAACAAACTTTTGAAAATTTTTATTATACTTCGCTTATAAAAAGGATTAAATACAAAAAGTGAATTTTTTAGTGTATATAAAGAGCATTTGATTAACAAAATTTTATGCATGAATTTTCGACTATAAGATATCAAAAGTAATAAATTCAAATTCATAGATCCATATCGATATTGATCCATAGAGCTTAAAAACACATTTATCTGTGCAAATGATTCGTCGTCATCAAATCCATCAGTAAGAAATTGCTTTTGATGAAAAGTAAGCCATCATTTCTATTTTTGACTATTTTGACAAGAACGAACAAGCGCAGAAGTATTATTCAAAAGAGAACCAAAAATTTCATGATCCAATATTGCTATTTTTAGAGTCATTATTTCCATAATAAAGATTAAAATTTAAAACTTTTAGAAGGTAAAACGATATTGGCGTATTATTGACTTGCATTTAGTTAGCTGACCTGTTCAAAGTAATATGAACTATGTGAACAAAAAATATTTCGAAAAAACGAATTTACGTGAAGAACTCACATGTTATATGATTTGAAATCTAAAAGAAATTGTTTGAAAAACCCGAAAAATCCAGAAACCTTAACAAAGCCACCGGTGTAATGAATGGTTTTGACTACATTATAAAATCCAGGAACACGTATTCATTCATATTTCCCTTCAGCGTTACCATAAAGGTTTGTGGAATTGATATGTGATGAAAGCCTATCGTAAAAAAATATTCAGAGAAAACGATAAAATTATTAGATGACATTACAAAAAATATTAGTTTGTCTTCACAAATTTTGAGCAAATTTCACTTCACAAATTTTCACTCTGGTTGAAATATGCTAATATGTCTAATTATTTTTCTTTCAAAAAAAACAACTTTTATGAATGCTAATTTGTACAGAAAATATGTATGTATCTGACACCATATAGTATGAAGACAAAATATCAAATCAGAATATCAAATCAGTTTAATCTCTTCAGCTGGAACTGGAAGAATAGCTTAGCCTATTAGGTGAATTTACTCTTTTCAATAATTCATTATTCGTAAAACTCTTTATTTTACTAGTTTTATATAAGTTTTTGAAGTAAAGATCTGTAACTCTGAAAATTACGAAGGAACTGATCAGAAAGAACTAAACTTTACTTTAAAAGGTAAAGAAGCAAACCTAAATTTCTAGATTTTGGCAAGAATATAACAGTTCATAGTGGATAGTGCTGGATTATATGCAACTTTCTGTGTGGGCTAGATTTATGAGGGAAAAATTAAAACTTCTTCGCAACCTTCGTTTATTACCTGGTAAATGCAATCTTCTACTTGCACCACTCCTTTCAAACGAATAAAGATTTCTTTTATAACTGAATGTTTTTCAATTTCCCGCTATTCTTAACAGACATTTTTAGTATGGCTGATTGCATGGGCTATAATGGTAATATCATTCGGCAGAGGGAAACTTGATGATAGAAGCTTCCAGCAGGGAGCTGATTTCAGTTTTAATAGTAGGCTTATATAAAAATAAGAATCGAAACGACGATTGTTGAACTTAATCGAACGTATACGGCTCGATCCTCTCGACTGAAATGAAAGATTTGATGACATCTAACCTTCTACGATGTTTCTTATTCGTATTATTGTGATTTATTCTATGATTTAATAGAAATAGTAATTGGAATTGTGTTACTTACTGCATAAATTTTTGGAATTGCTGTGTTTAAAATCTAAAACTTATTAATTATAAAATCAAATTTAACACAAAAATCAAAATATTTTGCATGTGCTAAGAATTTTAATAAATTTTAACCAAGTTAGACAAACGAAAGTTAGAAATTGTTTAATGAAAAACTTAAGTTAAATTGCAACTTTTGTACAAATATAAATAAGTTAAGGAAAAACTTTACATTTTTATTACAATTTATCAAAAAAACACAACTGGTATTTTTTTTTCTTATAATAAATAATTATTTCTTTATCATTTGAAGATTTAATGACCAATTCATTAAAATGATTCTAACAAGTACAAGGAGCGCCGAGCGCCGATGCTGTTCTACTTTATTGCTGACAAGAGTAAACCTGTCTTTTACAAATCCAAGTGGTGCTATAACCCATCTTTACTTCTATTCCCATATAATTTCCTGGCTAAATTTCCCTGGTTCAACAAGCTAATAACATGGGCGAACCCATCTAAAAATGATAAGCGCTCTTAGAGAAGAAAAGACATCGTCTGCGAACGATTTAATTGAAAGTTTGAACAGAAAAGGTTCATTTACTAGCATATTTGTCTAAGAGACGTTTTTTTCTTCTTGGATTTTATTTCTACTGATAGCTTTGTTAATGTCAAAGGAAAGAATCGATTCCATGACATTCATATCTCATAATACGAAAAAAATTTGAAGAAACAATGTTATTAAGATAACCTATTCAGTCCTATTTTCTCATACTCAAATTAATTCATATAGGGCAAAAATAATCCAGGAAACTATTTATTAAGTAATTAGTACTTACCATTTCTGGTTAGCGTAGCTCTGTTGGACGCAATAAAAGCTATAAAATTTAATGGTATTTATAATTAGCATTTTTTTTCTAAAAGCGCTCAGCATTTCTGGTTAATGCGCTCGTCGTACCGTACAAATTCTGGCAATAGATGTATAAATGAATTGCCAGCATCACCCGGTAAATTAAAAATTATAACAATAATGATATGGTAATAAAATAATAATATGAATAATAAATTATATTAATAATAATATTAATAATAATAGTAACAATAATAATAATAGCGTAATAAAATGAATTTGCAGAACTTACTGAAAATCCCACTTTCTGTTAGTAATCCCACATCTTATTTTCTAGCAATTTTTTTTCCATCCTAAACTTTCTTCTACCATTAATTATTCTATTGTGACTATGCATTTACCTTTTTTCATCCAATTATTATACAGATTATTGCTATGCAATTATGCAGTTATTTTCTAAAGATAATTCATTGAAAAATACCGCACCATGGAAATCACTTTGGATTTGCAATATTGTTCAGATTATGGTTGAAATACAATTTTCAGTTTATCTAATCTCTATGTGGCCTTACTTCTGCAAATTCATTTTATTATGCTATTATTATTACTATTATTATTATTATTATTATTATTATTATTATTATTATTATTATTATTATTATTATTATTATTATTAATATTATTTTACTACCATATCATTATTGTTATAATTTTTAATATCTATTTGACATCCATGCGCGTGTGGATTCCTATTGATGGCATTTGCCAATACTATATATGCATTTTTACCGCAAATGAAATCATATTACAAATGGATTTCACTAATAGCACGATTTATCGTTGGGACTGGCGCAGGTAATGCTAGTAGATTGACAAATTTTGTTTCTTCTATTATGAAATCTATTAGCTTTTTTTTGCACAACGTATTGACATTATAAAATAAAATCTCTCGATTGAAATATGATTGCAATGCAGTTGTAACGAAAAAAGGGGTTCGTTTGTCGTTTAACCTTCAATTCGTTACCCCTTTCAGTTAAAAAAAGTATCGTAATCGTAACTCGATCGTTGCCGCGAACCTCAGACTTGGGTAATTAAACTTTATTTAGATAACAATATAATTATAACACTGTTATTAAATAACGATATATTACATTATAATATAACCAATGACAAAAAAAACAATGATAAACAAAAACAACATCAAAACAAAAAAATATCGAGTGATAATACCTTTACCTACAAACCCCGCCGCTTACCTACCAACACGAATAAAATCGTCAGTTATCTCTAATGGAGCTATAAAGTTGATTGGTCGACTCGTTGTCCGGTTGTTAACCAATGTTAATGAAACCGATCGTATTTTGCCATCGGAATTTCGGATCAATTCGGTAATTTTTCCCAGCCTCCACTGAGCTCTGGGCATAGTGTCGATGACAACTTCCCCCTCTTCAGGTTGACGAAGTGTCATCGATCTCGTTCGTACATGCATGTTTCGTCGCTCTAATAAACTTTGAAGACATCGTCTCTGCCATAATTTCCAAAAATAGTCCAAACATTTTATGTCGATTGCCCAGTTCTGCAGTAAATCTTCTCTCCGTACATTTCGCATCAATTCGAGTTCATATTCTTAGCTTGAAGTATCCAAAGTGGTTGTTGTTGTAAATAATAAGTCTCTCGAGCGTAAATATTCGAGACTATTTCTTGTACAGTAGCACAGTGGTCGTTCGTTCACAATCGCTCCTATGTTGTTGCTCAATTAGGAGCGTTGATGCTGAGGTTCGATTCCCCGCAGGAGTAAACTTGTACAAAAATCCGGGTGATACTGGCGACTCATCTTTGTTTTTCAATCACAGCTCTCAGCGTTGTCTTTATACCAATACAAATACCAATCAATCGTTCATATACACCCATCGGGTATATTTCGGGATGAAGTTCCACTCGATCTCTTCTTCGCAATATCCGCTTGATTTCTCTTGATTGTTTCCTGTGACAAAATAAAATTCTTCGAATTGTCGGACAATATATCGTTCTTGTTTTACCTCGTATAACCATTAACTTTTGTAACGCCAGTAAGAAACTTTCTGCCGATAAACTCTTTACTGTCTCCAAATGGATCGCTCTTGTCGCCATGCATGTGAATAGCGCTATCCATTGTTTTACCTTTTTTCTTCGTGTTTTATCCAAACAGAGCCTGAAAAATCTGCTCCTATAAGAGTGAATGGTGCGCTTCGCTCGATTCTTATTATCGTTTGAAACCGTTTGGGGATCCAGTAGGTTTCAGTCAATTTATACACCACTGTATCATTTGGAGCATAAAGTAAGTTGAGATCGGTTTCCATAATAATTAATTTCGTTAGAGGACTGTTTTGAGGCAGAAAAATATAACTCCTATCGAATCTCCCTTTCATTATCCATAAACCGTGCTCTAGTAGCAAGCCAAATTTCTTCAAATCCTTTGCTTCTATGCTTTCATTTTGTCCTTCCCACTAGTTCTGCATAATGAATTTCTTGACTTGATATCGAACCATCTGATTTCACACCTTTGCTGCAGTTATATTTATTGTTTCCTACTTTCCTTATAAATCGGAGAACATATATCAGAATTCTTCTGAGTCGTTTGTATGAAGTGAGCCCAGTAAAATCAATAATAGATTGTTGTGTCTCATGCGAATTCTTTTGCATGACGATCGTTGCGTTTGTTTCCTTT